AGCAGTGCTGCTGGAGATTTTAAACACTGTATCCACTCACTGTCCACTCTATTAGTCACTCCTACCTTGTCAGTCCACCTTGTAGATGTAAAGTCAGAGACGATAGCTCATCTGCTGCTGCACAGTTTGTGTTGGTCATCCTCTAGTCCTTCATCAGTGGTCACAGGACGCTGCCCACAGGACGCTGCCCACAGGACGCTGTTGGCTGGATGTTTTTGGTTGGTGGACTATTCTCAGTCCAGCAGTGACACTGAGGTGTTTAAACACTCCAGCAGCACTGCTGTGTCTGATCCATTTAGACCAGCACAACACACACTAACACACCACCACCACGTCAGTGTTACTGCAGTGATGAGAATGATCCACCACCCAAATAGTACCTGCTCTGTGAGGGGCCATGGGGGTCCTGACCACTGAAGAACAGGGCAAAAGGGGGCTAACGAAATATGCAGAGTCATAATGTTCTTGAGAATGGGTGCGACTGCCGCACTTTAAACAAGTTTTATCTGGAGGTTTCTTAAGGTTATGATCTTGTCAGTGTGTTTGGCCATCAGTGATAGTTCGGTGGCCAAATTCTGATTGATTTCAGATGTATTAAAGTTGTTCTTGAGAAAGGTCCTAAGAAAAAGTCTACGTCAGATTCATGACGTGTTCTTAAACCGCAGAACTGTTCTCACACTTGTGCTCTTGATTGTGTGTGGATTCTGTTGTTACGTAAGAACAAATCCCAAATAAGAAAACACTGGTGAACGTCAGAATCTTCATAAGAACTGCATAAGTGGGGTTTAAGATGAAACTTCTTCTTAAGAACAGTTGGTGAATGAGGCGTGTTGTTCTTAAACTGTTAGGATTATTGACTGACACATTTTTTGGCAAAGTGGACGTGGCCTTTCCTGGATGCTTCTTTTACACCCAGGTATGATTGCTTCACCTGTTTAAATGTTTTATGATTGTTTTGCAACACCAGCATTTCTAATCTTAACATTTTTGTGTCCAAATTCTTTCGGACTGTTTTGTAGTTGAGTGTTTTTTTTTTGTTTTTTTTTTGCATTTCACGTACTATCCCAACTTTTATAGAACCGACTGAATGAAACATAGGATAATGTAGTTAATCCATACAGTACAATTTAATATATAGTATTTACATAAAGTATTCCAAACCCATCCTAATCAAAATCATCTACAGGTTAAATTCTATTAAATCGACAACTTATCTACTACTGTTATTTTTTCCCAGCTCCCTGGGTGGGCTGAGGTGGGCCTGAGCATGCTGTGTTAGTGAAGCCGCTCTGTGCTCTTGCACGTATCTGTATCATATCAAATTACAGTGAACTGTATACAACTCTGTTTACTGAGTCACCTGATAACAGATTTATGAGTTTACTGCAGGTTATTCAGTACTCCAGCATATAAACAAGCATGCACAGCCGAGAGGAAACAGCAGCTTTAGGAGATCTCGGGAACTTCACTTCAGGTAAGTTCAAACTCCTTTATATCATGATCTTACAGAAGCAAATCATCTATTTTCAGGATGAAACTGACATCTTGTAGAAAAACTACAGTACTGAATGCAAACCAATGCATTCGATGATTAAAACTGCTTAAAAAGCAATACGTTTATGGATGTTTACAGCTATTTGAATTGTTTTTCTTTTAATAATATTAAATAAAAACAGATAATGACACTCATACAAAAGAGAAATACAGCATAACACAAAAAAACTCCATTACAGCTGCACTATGATATGCAATGAATAGCGGGCGGAACCTTCTAACATTTCGCACTGACAAGAAGAAGAACTGCTATATATGGACCGTATATATGTATAGTCCATTTAGTCAAAAGAGCATTTGCGAGGTCAGGCACTGATATTGGACGAGAGGGTCTGGGTTGCAATTGATATTCCAGTTCATCCCAAAGGTGTTCAGTTGAGTTGAAGTCAGGGCTCAGTGCAGGCCACTGGAGTTCCTCCACACTAAACTCGTCAAACTAGCTTGCTTTGTGCAAAGGAGTACAGTCATGCTGGAACAGGAAAGGGTCTTCCACAAAGTTCAGAGCATCTAATTGCCTAAAATGTCTTTGCATGCTGTAGCATTAACATCACCCTTCACTGGAATTAAGGGGCCCAAACCCAGAAAAACAGCCCCAGCCCATTATCCCTCCTCCACCAAACTTTACTGTTGGCACTATGCATTCCAGTAGGCAGCGTCTCCTGGCATCCACCAAATCGGAGACTGCATGGCTATGTGCTTGAATTAGTTAGCAGTGGGTGTGGCTGAAACACCTGAACTCAAAAATTAGGAATGTCCACAGACTTCTGGCCATGCAGCGTAGCACTAAGTGAACTGTTTTGGTGCCATGTAGAGATATTTTTGGTATGAATGTCTCTCTGAATGACTCTTTTGCAGCTGTGAACAGTCTGACAGCCATGATGAATGAGGAAGATGCGAAGATTCTGGAGGAGTATGAGGTGGACCTGGAGCAGGGGGAGGACGCTGAGTATGAAGATGATGGGGAGGTGGAGATGTATGCAGCCGGTCTTAGCAGATGTATCGCACGGAAATCATACACTATGTACCATGGAACTACAATGGAGAGCGCCAAAAAGATCAAAAAAGGGGGCTTCATCCAGTCTCCCGATGGCATGCTGGGTCGCGGTGTCTATGTCAGCCGCAGCTTCGAGAAGGCCCGACGTTACCCTCTAAACGCAGGAGGAAAGCAGCTGGCAGTGCTTAAGCTGAACGTTCGAGTGGGTAAAGTGAAGAAGATCGACTACCAAGGCCATCCTATGCAGAAAACATGGCACTCCTACGGATATGACACGGCTTGGGTTCCTCCTAACTGCGGAATGACCCCCAGTGGACTAGAGGAGGACTGTGTGTACGACCCTCGGCGCATCAAGGTCCTGGATATCATACCAAATAAAAGATGACAGCAACAATTGCAATAAAGAGGAATTCCACTGATTTTTCACATTTTCTGTATAGTTCAGAGTGGTTTGGTGTGAAATGGCTGATTGTAGAGACTCACTTCTTCACAGAGGTGGTGGATGGAACCAGGGGTTGCCATGACTACAACAAAAATATAGCCATTTTATTTACTATCCAAAACCACCAGTGAGCCTACACGTGTATCCTGAGTTTATATATGGAATTTTGATGATGGTAAAATAGTGATAAATCTGAAAAAATATGTTTTCTTTGGGGACTACTTTGCCTCACAACACCCTTCATGTATCCCTTCACCATGAATCTTTTTCAACTATCGTAAAAAAATTTCTCAGACATCAGGCAGTGAATTCATAACCATTACCTGTAGTAACTTTCTGTGAGGGAGCTTTTAGACGTGGGCGTCTGGTTCCTATCATCACCACTGTGAACAATTCTGACTCGCTAAGTTTCTCTAGAACAGAGCGTTTCACACCAAACCACTCTGACTTTTTTTAACCATTTATTTACTGAAATTTGGTGGAATTCCCCTCTGGCAATGGTGCATTAAGGCCAGTGAAAGAAATTTGGTGGAATTCCCCTCTGGCAATGGCGCATTAAGGCCAGTGAAAGCACAAAGAATCTCTTAAAAGTGGACCAGCGTATTCAGAAACTCCTTTGATTTAAACCTGCACTTAATGTCATCATGAATCATTCATCAACATGATTTTATAGAACTGCACTTTTAAATTCACTTCACTTCTCAGCCAAAAACACTTATTTCATAGTAGATTTTATTGTTTACATTGATCTGCAGAACGACAAGAGTACCCGAGTTTCAGATTGTTTGATCAATGAATATGAATTATTTCTGAAGATGACTGGATTTCGATTTTTGATAAACTTGGGTAAAATCACTGTTTTACAAAATGCCAAATAAACAATTTATGATTAACTGAAAACGCATGAATACCACACTCTCATTCGACAGATTTTTGCATTATTACTTTTTCTTGAACTGAAAGTCAATATAAAAAAGTCATTTTTCAAGTCAATATCTCAGAAATTGTCATTATTTCAAAATATTAAGTAAATATTTTGAGAAAATAACTGTGTAAAGATAAAGTCAATACTTACAGGGAGAAAAAAGTCATTGTGATTATTATTATCATAATTTTAATAAAATCATTGTTATTATTGTGGGTCAATATTAAAAAATCCTAAGTCATTACTACAAGATGCTAACTCAGTATTTCCAGAAAATGTCATTATTTCAAGATATTAAGTCAATATTTTGAGAAAATAAGTCAGTATTTAAAGATATTAAGTCAAAACTTAGACTGAGAAAAGTCATTATTGATTATTATCACTGAGTCAATATAAAAAAATTATTACTACAAGATACTAACTCAGTATTTTAAGAAAATAGGCCATTATGTTGAGATATTGTCAATATTTTAAAAAAATAAGTCAGTAGTTCAAGATATTAAGTTAATAAAAAAAGTCATTATTGAATATTATTATAGTCATTTTTATTACTGTGAATCAGTTATTACAAGATACTAACTCAGTATTTCCAGAAAATGTCATTATTTTGTGATATTAAGTCAATATTTTGAGTATTTTTTATATTATAATGAAGTCTTCATTATTATTGAGTCAATATTAAACATTTTATTACTACATTATACTAACTCAGTATTTCAAGAAGTCATTATTTTAAGATATTGAGATTCTAAGTCAACATTATATATATATATATATATATATATATATATATATATATATATATGTCAAATATATACATATATATTTTTAAGTTAAGTCAATATTTCAAGAAAATAAGTCATTATTTCAAAAAAAAAAAACATTACAAAAAAAAATGTATAACTTTATTTTTGACTGCTTCCAGAAACAGCAGCAGAAAGAAAAACATGCAACTTTTTCTCTGCTTCTGTACAAAACTGAGTGCAGCATAACATCAGCAAGGCATCCGTAATGTTTTCTCCTGTTTAGTTTGTTACAATCCAGAGATCGGCTTAAAGATAAATAAAGCTCAGCAGTGACACACGGCTTGTAAAACAGTTAAGTTTATTAAAAGCTTGTTTATTCTGGGTAATTTACAGCATAAATAAGCCTTTTCCTATGTACACCTTCAAACCACTTACAATTATGCATATGAATGTGCCTTATTTTCATAAAATATTAATGCTTTACAATTCTTTACAGCTATGCTTTCCATTTCATTTAGGATTAATCTTTGTCTATGTGCAAATACATTTTACAGAGGGAGGTTCTATCCAGGTACTAGCAAATCTAACCAGTATGCCTCTAAAGACCCTGTACAAGTAAACTATTGTTGCCCATTCACTGCTAAGTTGTAGTATATCATGTGTTTACAGTATTAAAGAAAGAGAGACGACAAAAACTGCCCTAAAATTAATATTCACAATATTTGATCTACACTCGTGTCTCTAAGACTGCATTTATAATGGAATAGAGCTTCACAGCTTAAACCACTGCATTGAAACGAAGGCTGTAAAACTTCCAGCTGAGAAGGACGTGACGTCTCCATATTAAGGCTAAATACAGCAGACAATCAGCCCTGTTGCAACAACATATCAGTGCACTTAAAAACAATGAGCTTGTCCTAATAAGTACCTTAAAAAGATAAGCCTATGGGGTGGAAAGTGGTCAGATCGCCTGCTGTTTGCATTCAAAGCGCTGGTTAATGAACTGGACGAGCTGCACATTACAGGTTATAAAACATAACCTGCTGGGTCGCCTATTTCAGTTCAGTTATATTTGACAATATTGCAACATACAAATAATTTAATGAATAAAATATTGGCAAAAACCTGATGTACACAGTTTTCCACTTACCCCAGATTAGCGAGAGAGTAGTCGATCAGCTAAGGTAAGTTTTGTTACTTTATTTTAGCGCTGGATCTACGAGGCTAATGTTGCTAACAATAGAAGTTAATAGTCACCCAAATGTTTTCGGTAAATACATCTCCAAAACCTCTCTCAGCACACTTAAACCGCATCCGGCTCTTCATTAACATGGCCTAGACTTTGGTTTAGGATGCATTATGACTTAATGTGAGCTATAAAAATGAACAAAACTTCACCGTGAAGCTGAATTTTAGGCATTCGGTGTCCTAAACCAGGGTTTTCCAACAACTGGGCATATCTATTGGTCCTCAGGCCAATAGGGAGGGGTAGACAGTGGTCCATAGTGGGCCAGTGGTGGCAGTTGGTCATAAAAATGAGTGAAAAAATAATAACTGACTTAACAACAAAGAAACACAAAGGCAGCTATATCTAGTTTTTGCCTCTTGTTTTAATTGTCCACTTGCTAGCAAATGGCGTAAAACAACGAACGTGTTGCTGAAACTTTCTGCTTAATGATTTCAGGAATAACACAAGCTTATGCCAGCCTAATCTGTTGACTATTTTATGCTCCATGATAAACGCTGCATATTGTGGCACCCAGACATTGCTGAGTGTTGAAAATTTCCCAAAAATAAATTTTGCAAAAAGGTTATTTTGCTAGTCCACTGTAGGTGCTTTGTAGACGCTCAGAGTCTTTAAGTAGTACTCAACTAAATATCTATTAAATGCAATTGAATTTGAAGTTGAGTGCGATAGACTGCGTTCAATATAGGCCAAACCTTAACTTCAATCCTAAACCTACACCTACTCTTAAACCCAACTTTTACTTTAACAGGGTTGACAATCAACTGTCACCCGAAAGTCTGTTAATAATGTAAATATCTGTAGATCATCTATAGACGACCATCAAATTAAAGTTTGACCAAAACCTTTTTTCTGGTTTCCTTTGGGGTTTAATGCTTTGTGGACCATGAGGTGGAAAAGGTGGAGAACCCCTGTCCTAAACCACATCAACAAGTCCGCACGTCCTTCACGAAGACCTTTATGTGGTTCGAGCGTCTTGTTCTGGATATGTATTTACAACCGTGGTAAACTGAGGCCTTCAGTTTGGGCCATAAATGTCAAAACTCTAGTTCTAGTTAGTGCTAAACTAAAGCTGGTGCACATGAACATTTTCTATCTGTTCTAGATCAAACATGGATATTTGAGCTTGCTTGTATCAGTTTTTTGCAGTGACTCTTTCAGTAAAGAGTCCCGATGGTGACTGTTCTCCATTTCTAACAAATAACCGAAACCTACTTAAGCTACGACTTGTATTCAGTCAGTGACGTATCTAGAACTTCCAGATGTTCTAAAGTGACATTTTTCTCACAAAACTGTTCCCACTTTAAATCAAAGTGTGACTGATTTTTTCTGTCAATTCCTAACTACGTTGGTAGTTAATCTAATTTGTTAGGCCTTCTGTGCAGCTCCTGAAGCCCTAACCAATGGGAGAGCTCGCTTGGCTGTATCGATCTGTATCTGTAATGCTGATTGGACAGTTTTCCATTGGGCCTTTCAACTGAAACTTAACAAGGAAATAAAGAGTATTACTACAATGCTACAATGCTTGTGAAGCTTAAATACGAGCATGATTCTTTTGAAAAAATGGATTTTTTAAATTATGTTCCATAGAAAAGATTTGGGTGACTATTGACTTCTAGTCTTTGTTAGCAAGATTTGCCTCGTAGCTCCAGCACTAAGCAAAATTTGGCCACTAAGCTTGGCTGATTCTTCAGGGGTAATATTTTCAGATGGCACATATGAGATCCATACCACACATCTTATGAAGCGGCGCCAGCACCGACTTATGGATTTTGTAGTTCAGTTTCATTTCCATCTTTACTGTAATATGGCTTAGCAAAATATTACATTGCTATTATATTGTTTTGTGCTTTTAAGGTCAAAAACTTATTGTTTGACAAAAGTTCAAGTGATTTCTAATCCACCATCAAAAATTTCCCTTATGGAGAAATGGACAGCGATTAAAACTGCTTTGCACGCAACCAGCAGTTGGCACAGTTCTGCACTTTCCCTCCCCATATTTATGGACTAGACCCAAACAGCTGGGCAAAAAAGAACGGCTCACATCTGAGAACAGCCTGAGTATCAGTAACAGAAACTTCAACTACATCTTCCAGTTGACTATTAATATTAATATTCTATTCCTCTATTTACATCTCACCGCATCCTCTTCTAATGTTTCATATCTAATGATGAGAGCTAGATTTTATCTTTATCAAAGCAAATTACATAGTTCTTCGGCCAGCATCTCACAGCCAATATCCAAGCCATCATCAGTGAGAGGCATTGTGCTTTCTTAATATAGATAAAGGAAAACTTTACCCATAAAATGCTAACATGGCTAACAGCAAATGAAAGCCTACAAGAGGCAAGTTAGCAAGATATCATTTGTATAGTGCTAACTCAGCCATACTAGCTTCCATTCATCATTAGCAACATTAGCATGTCTAGTAAGCTTGTCTAAGATTAGCAGGAAAAGGTCAGCTTAAACCTGGAGAAGATACACTCTTGCTTTTCGAGTCATTTGACACGACCGTCGGTCTTTCGACCTACAGATTCAGGTGTTTTACATGTGGAAGATCGTCTCGAATTCATTGAGGATGAACTCAATGATCTGGTTCTGGAAGACCATGTACATGGTTATGTTCGACGACTCCATTTCAGGCTTGAGCAACGTTGGGCCGAAGACGATGGCCACGTTCTGAACGGTCATCCTGTTCTCTTCTCCATGCTCGATGACTCTGAGAGACAGAAAGAGAGAGAGTGGGAGAGATTGAGAGAGATTTTCACACAGAATTTGAACAAAGTGTGAATTAGGCACGTGCCAGTATTCGAATACTGAAAGCACTATTCAGGTCTTTATTATGTTTCATTGCAGGAAGACAGAGAAAACTGCTTGTATTCCTAACCATAATATCATCCTCACTAGGTGAGAGAGTGTTCAGTGTGATGCTCGCTCTACCATTTAAGAGTTAGGCCAGAGCCGGTTTATGAGGAGTCTGGCCTCTTCCTATTTCCTCTATTATATCAAAAACAGGACTGAAAAACAGCAGAGGGTGCCTGCGAGCGAGTCATCATTGAATGGGAGTGAATGGAGCTCAACGGCTAAAAATCAAAAGTTAAAATAGTTTCTAATCACTCGATCAGAACTTTCCTTTAATTTTAGAAAGTAGAAGGATATATGTCACTAAAAAAGCTAAGAAAACTCACCTATATATTTTCTTTTTTTCTACAGCAAACTGGTTTTAGGCAGTAGGACGCTGGCATTACTGCTACCGAGAGCTGATTGGTTGGCGAGCAGAGCAGCTCATTGGATGTTCGGGCTCACAGACATCATGGACGTTTATGAGGCACCATTTTAAACTTATATAACTCAGGTTAAAAGCTCTTAAAAATATAACAGCAGTGTTAAAATGTTTTATGCTGTTCTGTGTTCAGGAAATGATTGTATTCTTTTATATTAAAAAATGTTTGAGCATTTATAATCTATGATTTTGCTCTAATGCTCCATATTAACCTATTCATTTTGGACTCACTCAGGAGCGCCCCCTAGCGTTTGATAAACCCAGAAGACATTAGAGTGATAATTCTCCTCTGTTTTCTCCAGTTTCTCCAGTTTTCTGGTTACGCTTGTGCTGAGATCCTCGGAGAAACCTAGCACAGTAGCAAGCTAGCTGATGTTAGTGAGGTCCGCTAATAGTGGGAATATATCTCTCTGACAAATAACATGTTGGCACATCGTCCACTGAGGAGAAAAGACCTTGCGTAGAATATGATGTGTTTTCATCAGCATTTAACGTGATACTGCTTATCTTCTCTGTTAGCTCATTAGCTCATCTGAAGATGCAGCCTCTGCTGTATTCGAATAATAAAACATCTGTGTGCTGCTATATTTTTGTGCAACACCAGTGTCATCTAAAAAGGTTAGCCTACAACCCTACATTTATTACAGCCAAGGTCTGTTTTTGTTATTTTTCCTTTTCCCTGGTTAACCAGACATCCGTTCATGAACTCTTAAGGATACCTGACTACAAACATTAGCCGGAATGCACATGCTTGAACTATGGGACCACTTATTGATGTTTTGGTAATTTAGTTACCCAGCATGAAATCATTACAATGTATTGTTTTTCTTTCTTTCCTTTTTGTATGTACGAATGCTCTGTGCTTCACTTTTTAATCTGAAACTCCAGTCTGGGTTTTTCCAGTTGTTGTGAGGCCTTTTCACATCAAGTCGAGTTTTACAAATGAAAGAAACAGATGGGATTTTTCAACGCACTGCAATCTTCACATCAAGTCCAATGTGCTCTTTTATTAAACCCACAGGAAACAGAGGAAGAAGAGCAGGATTCCTTAGGTAACAATTTTCTGTTTACCCTTGTGTGACTCAAAGACGCAGACACTGGTTAAGTAAGGCAGATTTTCAGAACCAGGTTTGGTGACCGCTCTCCTATTAATACTGAGTAATACTAAGTAATTTAAAACATCTGGGTTTTAAGCAATGAAAAATGCTATATTTATCAAAAATTTTGACCTGACAACTTCTTTTAAAACTCCTTGTCATCCCAGCTATATTATGAACTCCACTGAAATTCAATCATCTTTTGTTCTCTCTTAAATATACACCAAACCAGATCACAGATCAGCACTCATCAACATGGTCCCTGGTCATGAAAAAGGTTTGAGGGATGGTGGTAGTGGTGGTTGGGGGAACACATACTTCCTTAAATGGCTAAACAGCACTTCCATAGTGTCGTGATTGGGTGGTGGTAAAGACTTCACCAGATCACTCATATAGGACACTCTGCTGTGGTAGTCTGGGATTTCTACAGCAAACAAGAAGAGCACAAGAACAGTTAATACCTGACAAACTGTGAAACGAGGCACACCCAGTCTTTACTTCCCCTTTCATTATGAGACAGAAAGAAGATAGAGGTTCTTACTGATGCCCTGCACGAAGCTGTTGAAGTGACTGTAAGGAAACAGAGGCTCCTGCAGTTCTCTGAAGAACAGCTTCAGAGCTCCTGTGATGACGTGAATGTCCCAGTTTCCCTCCTCCAGGTTTAGATCCTCCGCTAATGTACACATTGTGACGACACATCGAGCAACGACACATTATACCACTTCAGTCCAAATACATAAATATAAATGACTAGTAATAATAATCACCTAGAATTAGTATAAAGATAAGGCGCACCATGATCAGCCTTGAAGCGCAGTTTCTGAATAACAGCCAAGTTCCCACTGACTCTGTAGATTCCATCGATCCCCAAACCTGTGAGATAACATTGGAAGAAATTAGGCTACACCGATTTTATTCCATTTAAATGGCATAGGACTTAGGTGTCCAAGCACCAGGCGCAGAAGAAGTCTTCTTCGTTTTTGACACTTTTTTTTTAGCTTGTTGTTATTATTATTCTTTTTCTACTGGCTATATTTGATCTGTACCTCTTCTCTCGACCGTCCGGATGCACTTCTCCACAAAACTGGGTACTGTAGTTTTCTCCTGGGCGCACAGATTGTGGAGGTGACAGCCAAACACGTTTTCTGCATCCAATAGTGAAAAAAAATCATCTGTTAGTATACAGACACAAAAATCTCCTGCACACAAAGCTGTGAGAGCAGTCGTTTCACCTCTGATGTAGCCCTTCTCCTTGACGGACTGCAAAGTCGGCCTCTTGAGGAGAAACTTGCGCAGTTTGTTGCGGACCTTCTTCTGGTCGGCTTCAGAGGTGGAACTAGACGATGGCTGTCTGCCCGCTAATGGTCAAACACAGAGAGAGAGGATCGTACCTTTAGCCATGCTACCTCATAATGTTAAATTCTGATTCATTCAGCTATTAAGTGTAATTCTCAACAGGGAAATTTCTCTTTAGCTTGGAGAAAAGGACCCAACATTCCACTTTACCTCAGCCAATCTGCTAAGACATGTTTGCTCCTTTGTTCTGCAATGAAGCTACAAGGCTAATGTGGATAACAAGTAAGTGTTCACTAATTAGCACTGTGCTAACTACACGCCTAAATCAGCAGCACACATTTGCCTCAAATGGCATCAAACTGTTATGTAATCTCTAACAGACTTGGTTACATCACTTCTGACACTCTATGACACACTTATCTATAAAAACAGACAGAAATAGGCAAAATTCATGATGCTAATACTGTTTTAGCTTCACTCAGTGTATTTCTGTAGATAACAGTATGGCATACAGGGTAGTGACACAGTTTGAGGGAAGTGTGATGATTTAGGCATGCAGTTAGCACCATGCTAACTGGAAAATGTCTGCGTAAATTTCCATTTATCTTGCTACATTTCTAATTAGCACTGTGCTAACTACACGCCTATATCATCACACATTTGCCTCAAATGGTATCAAACTGTTAGGTAATTTCGAATAGACTTGGTTATGTTGTTTCTGACACTTTATGATACACTATTATCTATAAAAACAGACAGAAATAGATAAAATTCATGATGCTAACACTGTTTTAGCTTCATTCAGTGTATTTCTGTAGATAACAGTATGGCATACAGTGTAGTGACACAGTTTGAGGGAAGTGTGATGATTCAGGCATGCAGTTAGCACCATGCTAATTGGAAAACGCCTACATAAGTTTCCATTTATCTTGCTACATTAGCTTCGGAGATCCAATGTAAAACTAAGTAACCAAACATGTCTTGGCTGACTGACTACATTTAGGGTAAGTGCTTTAAAGATCTTCATAAAAAATTCTCCATATTTCAGTCATTAGGATGTAAACAAAGTCGTTCAGAGTGGTTTGGCGTGAAACGCTCTGTTCTAGAGAAACTTAGCGAGTCAGACTTGTTCACAGTGGTGGTGATAGGAACCAGACGTCCACCTCTAAAAGCTCCCTCATAGAAAGTTACTACATTAATTATTATGAATACACTTGATGTATTCATATGAAAAAAAAAAAAATTTAGGCTTACTTTTACCATTTTCAACATTCCATATAAACTCAGAAGACTCGTGTAGGTTCTCTGGAGGTTTTGGATTGTAAATAAAATGTCTATATTTGTGTTGTAGACATGGTGTCCCCTGGTTCCTATCACCACCACTGTAAAGAAATCTGAGACTCTACAATCAGCCATTTCACACCAAACCACTCTGAATGACTCCGTTTACATCTCAAGCACTGAATTATGCAGAAATATAGGAAAATCTGTGAATTTATATCTGTAGGTTGGTTCACTTAGTCCAGGAAGCTCTAGTTTGCTTAGCATTCAAACTGACGCACTTGATATCAAAACAAAACATGAAAAACAAATGTCATCATCATAATTTGAGTATAGTATAGAACTATGTTTGGAGTTTGTATTTTTATATATTTAAAAATCTCCAGCAGCCCTGCAATGTTTAAGTGAACGCTGTATTTTTGAAAGTTGCGTCGCTCGAACACATGCAAGTTAAGGTTCAAAGAGAGAAAGTCTATGCAGAGTTATAGGCCAGTTCTGAACCCCAAAGTGGACTAATAGTGGTTTTTATATTGTTTTATTGTTTTTTAAAGCATCATCTAACATCATAGTAACGTTTGCTAAGCCGTTATATATCTCCTGTTCAGTGTGCATTTCAGTGTAAAGTGTAGAGTGTGTGACTGTGAGCGACATAATCAGTTAATGTGCCACACGTCAACAGTCTGATTGGCCACCTCTCAGTTTATTTGCATAAAGTTTGCTCAGAACTAGAGAGCAGAGTGATGTGCGTCAGTGGTTTGACGTGTCAGTTATATGCATATTTTGTCATCTCACCTCACTGTATGATATGCTTTGTTTCATGCAAATTAGCCAAAAAAAAAATATAATGATAAAAAGCAAATCATTTTGCATGATGTCATCAGTCACGTCACATATGCGCTGCTTATAATTTCAGCAACACCAACTTAAACCATCTTCCCCTGTCCCTGAATGTCATACAGACAAAAACTGTCAAAACTGACTGGGAAGATGTTATCATACATTTGGTGATCTTTCTGGGTCATGTTATTCTCTGGCCTAAATATGCTGGTAGATTTTATGAACGTCGTGTTTTATATATATCATTGAAAGCCATGAGGGGCTGGGCGTGTTCTCACAATGAGTAAAATCACTGTAACACTTCACAACTGTTATGATCGAGCCTCAGACACATCTTAAAACAAAAGCTGTTTGTTTCATAATTACCAATTTAGATCTTATTAGATGTCACAACTCTAACATCAGGACTTTGTCGGCTGCAAGTGCCAAACAAGGTATGTAGAGAGAAGAGGACTTAGACTATATGGACAAAAGTATTGGGACACCTACACAGTACACCCACAGGAGCTTTTACGACACACCATTCTAAATCTATGGGTATTAATATGGAGATGGTCCCTCTTTGCATCTGTAACAGCTTCCACTCTTCTGGGAAGCTTTCTACAAGATGTTGGAGTTTGTCTGTGGGGATTTTTGCTCATTCATCCAGAAGAGCATTTGTGAGGTCAGACGCTGATGTTGGACGAGAGGGCCTGGCTCAAAATCTCCGTTCTAGTTCTTCCCAAAGGTGTTTGATGGGGTTGAAGTCAGGACTCTGTGTGGGCCAGTCAAGTTCTTCCACACTAAACTCACCCAGCCATGACTTTATGGACCTTGCTTTGTGCACTGGGGCTCAGTCATGCTGGAACAGAAAAGGTTCTTCCCCAAGCTGTTCACACAGAGTTTGAAGCATACAATTGTCCAAAATGTCTTGGTCTGCTGAAGCATTAAGATTTCCCTTCATTGGAACTAAGAGTTCTAGGCCAACCCCTGAAAAATAACCCTGTAGCACCATCCCTCCTCCACCAAACTTTACAGTTGGCACAATGCAGTCAGGCAGGTAACGTTCTCCTGGCATTCGCCAAACCCAGACTCGTCCATCAGACTGACAGATAGAGAAGTGTGATTCAACACTCCACAGAATGCGTTTCCACTGCTCCAGTGGCAGCGTACTTTAGACTTTACCCCTACAAAGACCAGGGTGTTTTTTCTGGATATGAAATGTACAGAGTGTAGTTAAGGACATACTGTCTACCCCAATTACCATTACTCATCCTTCGCTTGTCTATGGAGCTGGCTGATCTGTCTTCTTTGTCTGTGCTGGAAGACTTCTCACTGAACTCCTCTTCATCTTCTGAGTGGTGCTGCTCCACTTCCTGAGAGAAAGATAAAAAAGAGAGACTCTTTTAATGAACTTTAGAGGAAAGTCCTGAACATGAATATCAAAGAAATTGATGTTCTTGAGAGAAAAGTTTAACTATTGATATTACTATACCAATATTTGTGACAGAGTCTGTAAAGAGTGGGAACTTTACCAGCTGTCGGATGGTGTCTTCGATGACATTTTGCCAGTCAGTGATGATGCTTTCAGTGTCATACTGAAGCAGGAACTCTGCACCAGCCCGACTTTTCAGCTAAACACACAGACAAGTATTGCTGATTTGCACAATAGTGGATTTTTAAAAAATAAGGCATCATAATGTGTCCTAAATGAGATTCCACATATTTTAAAAAAATTCTGCATAATTGAATTTTGGTTAAGATGTACAGAAGGTCATTCAGAGTGGTTTGGTGTGAAATGCTCTGTTCTAAGTGCCAGAATTGTTCACAGTGGTGGTGATAGGAACCAGAAGTGTATATATGTATATATATGTACATGCATGTGTGTGTGTATATACACGTGTGTGACATGTATTTATGTGTTTGTGTGTGTGTGTGTGTGTGTGTGTGTGTATATATATATATATATATATATATATATATACACATACATCGCTGCTGTCAGAACAAAACCTTGTATCTCCATTTTTGTCGTTTTTCAGTTTTTGACAATTTGAAAATGCCTATTGTTCTTTACATTATGTGTAAATTTCATGCTAAATAGACCAAAAGAAATGACCCATTGACTTACATTAAAAGTAAAGTATGTTTTTTCCTTCTCCTGTAAAGTTACCGTTTTGGAGATACAAGATTTTCTTCCGATAGCAACAACATATAAACTGCTGCATAGTCATGGTGACCCCGGTTCCTATCACCACCACTGTGAAGAAATGAGTCTCTGCAATGAACCTTTTTTTACACCAAACCACTCTGAATGACTCCGTTTACATCTTAATCACTGAACTGCACAGAACATTTGAAAAACTGGCGGAATTTTCCTTTATGAATTATACCTCCAGCACATTCTTCTTGCTGGACTTTTCCTTAGCTGCCTTGTTAATAGTCGCTCCTTTCAAGTCCACAGTGAATTCAGGGACGAACTGATTGGTCTTGCCCTGTGGGAAACAGAAACGAGTTTAAAAGGGCAAACATGGGATGAAGTGGAGGTCAGTGTCAGTTACAGACCTCTGATGTCCAGCATCATTCTGTAGTTGGGGTCACGATCATATTAGGACCTAAAAAAGTGGATTTGTGTATGGAAAAACTGAATGCTGCCTTAATAAACTGCAGATTTTACACAAACAAAAAGGTTCCAGAGCCGATACGTTTTGCTCTGTGTACATTTCCCACACAAAGGTCCTCGGGTCTTCAGGTTTTTGAGAGGTTAAAATATGATAAATGCTACATTTAAGCTCAAATATATGATTTTTTCTCTCATTCTTCAATTTTTTTGATACATTTTCAACTTTTGCACTTCACATTAGTATTTGATTTTAAATAGGGTGCACGGCATTACAGCACCTTCTTTTATTCTGAAAGCTTGGGCATCTTTACAGTTGCTTAACTATGACTGGTCATTCAGTATTTAGGGGAGGAGTTTAATGAAAGATGCACTGTGATTGGTTTGATGTATTTGTTAAAGTGTATCATATTCTTTCGTATATTAGTGAAAACCTATACTCCTAAAAAGATGGTTCTTCAAGGGTTCTGTGGTAAAGTAAATGGTTCTATATAGAACCTTGAACACTAAAAGAACCCTTTGCATGATTAACTCGCTTTTAGTCTCTAACCACCTTCAGACAGCCTGGAACTTTTTTAGTTGAGTTTAACTTTTCCCTTATCCTTTTTATTTATTATTATTATTATTATTATTATTATTATTAATATTAAGAATAATAATATTAATAATAATAATAATAATGTTATTAATAATAATAATAATGTGTTATTTCATATTTTTGTATATTTAATGTTATATTTATGTTTAAATAATTATATTTAAATAAATATATTTAAATAAAACATATATTTAATGTTTTATTTGATGTTAATTCTTTTACTGTTCTGTTCTAGTAAATAATTAGATTTTTCTAAAAATGTAGTTATTGTTCACTATCTAAATTGGTTCTTTTACTTCATTTTAACGTTTCATTGTATTTCTTATTGATATTTTATGCCTCCTGTTTCCTAATTGAGCTGTTATTTATTTATTTATTTTTTTAAATAAATCTTTTTGTCTTGCTGATTTTCATTTGTTTTAGTTGGAAAATTTCATTTTAGTTTTTCAACCCATTGTAATTTGCTCGGCTACTCTGTAAACGAAGGTCATCCTCAATGTACTTCCGAGATGAAATAAAGATTAATTGCTTGATTGATTGATTGAAAATTGCTCATCAGGTTGATGGAGAAAGTGCTCTACATGGTTCTATATAGAACCTTTTTGAAAAAAGTTCTATATAGCACCAAAAAGGGTTCTTCTGTTGTAATAAGCTTGTATCGTAACAATAGCAAAACCCTTTTTGGTGCTATATAGAACCATCTACACATTCTCCATCAATCTGAAGAACCACTTTACGATGCAAAGAACCAATTAATCATGCAAAAGGTTCTTTGAGTCTTCACGGTTCTGTATAGAACCATTGTCTTTACTAAAGAACCCTTAAAGAACCATCTTTTTTAACAGTGTAGTTTTAAGTGTAAAATATATTGGAGTCTAGAAAAATGGAAATATAAAAGCACATACACACACATATACATACATATACATATATATATATATATATATATATATATATATATATATATATATATATATATATATACACTGAAAGTAACTATATTTTATTTTGATAGCATCATAGTGCCTTACATGCTGCATTAATGTTCTACTGATATTCTTTCCTTACACACAATTTATAGCCCTGATTTAGATTAAGGTAGATTAAGGCCCACCTTCCTAGACCCCCATTCACAACTGCATTAGCCCAGCTGAGCAGAACCAATCTTTCGAGAAGGTGAATCAGTTCAGTTTGTTTACCAAAAAGATTTATTCTAAAAGAATCACTTGTCAGTCAGTCATGGCAGCTGATGGCAGCACTCACCGCTGCTCCTGCTGGGGTGGACTTGGGGTCCTTGTGGAACGTTAGAATCCCCCCATGAAGAACGGTCCACGAAAGAGCCCAGTTCTTTCTGCGGAAACAAAGTGTGAACCAACACTTAAACTCATCAAAATACCCAGCAGAAATGCTAAGCTGATGTCATTACCTCACTTTCTTCCCATTCTCACAGATCTTGGTCCTGTTGAGGATTCCAGCTTTCTCCAAATTGGACACCTGGAGGAAATGACCAACAGGATTTTAGTGTTTGTGCTAACCACAGTCATTCAGGAGCTGCGACACTGGAATAGAAAGGAAGGGTCTGATGTGTCTTCAGGGAAGAGAAGTAACGAAGAGCAGGTTTTAAAGAATGATTTGACTTTTTATTTTCCCACTTTGTTGTTAAAAGCACTTGGTCTCATCTCTTGGTCCAAAGGTGTTTAAAGGTTTGAGTGCTGGTGAGCGGTGACATCACAACAAGGACATAACAGAGGCTTTTTGATTGATTCCCAAAGTGGAACTTTTATCAGTTATTATTTCAGCTGAAAAGGTAATCTGTACACAACTTTCTGTAAGAGTAGAGCCGCATGGTTGCACTGTCACTGTTTAACCACCAGGAGGGAGCAAAGCACTTTATTGTTGTATTTCATAGAGCTGCAGATTGTTTTCATCTGTGTTTTCTCCTGTTTCTGGCAGCAGTGTCAAAATATTGACTTAGTATCTTGAAAAAAATCATTTTCATAATATAATGTCTTATTTTCTCAAAACATGGACTTAATATGTCAAAACAATGAGTATGTTTTTCAACATTTCAACTCAATGTCAAAATATTTTCTTAAAACAAGACTTAAGACTTAATATCTCAAAATAATGACTTTTTACTGCAAACATTGGCTTAATATACTTAAATAATGACTAATTTTCTCAACATTTTTACTTATCTCAAAATGAAGACTTATTGTCTCAAAATATTGACTTAGTATGTCAGAATAATGACTTTTTGTCTCAGAATATTGACTTTGTATCTCAGCATAATGACATTTTCACAAGATACTGACGTAGTATCTCAAAATAATGACCTACTGTCTCAAAATATTGACTAAGTATCTCAAAATAATGACTTATTAGCTTAAAATATTGAGTTGGCATTTCAAAATATAATCTTTGACTTAATAGGTCAAAACAATATTTTCTTTTCAACTTAATATCTCAAAATAATGATATTTTCTCAAAACATTGACTTAATATCTCAGAATAGTGACTTATTTCCTTAAAATATTGACATCTAATAATAATGACTTATTAGCTTTAAATATTGACATTTCAAAATATTGCATCTTTGACTTACTTTGTCTAAATTATGACATTTAATTTCAAGAAAGTAAGCCTTACTCCATATTTACAGAGTAAATTATTATACTGTAGATAGTCGAGTCAATATTTTGACATCAACTAATGTGGGCAGCTGGTCATTTCAAGTGTGCTATTCAAAGCACACAAAAGGAAGGAAGGGTGTCTACAGTTATGTGTTGAGTGAGTGACTGAAAGAGGGTGTAAACAAAATCAGAGCGAAGTGATAATGGTTTGAGGAAGAGCTGAGGAGAAAGCAGAACATACAGTAATTCAGCAAATTTCACAGCTGATGACGGCTAGAATCAAAGACCGAAGAACACGATCACAACCCAGCTGACCCATCCATGCTCCGCCCACAAATGTGTTCTTTCATCGTGACCGTTGCTAGGTGACAAGCTCCCAGTATACCTAATGAGAAACTGCAGCACAGACGTTTTGGTCAACATCGAGCGAGTTTGATCCCCAGTGATGCCAGAGCCATCCGTAAGTGGGAGTCCAAGACAGCATGACTGTCCGTTCTCTCTCTGGGTGGGTAGGTTGGCCAATGCAGGTATCTATTAGCTGACATAACAGAATTAGCAGGCAGCTTCTCCTCCAATAATGTGTTAGCAGCAGTTTGAGATGCAGCAGCGCTTCAAGAGTCTCAGATGAAGCTCATCATTTTTGTCAATTATCTGTTAAGCTTGTCCAACAGTAGCTATGAAAGAATGCATTTGTGGGCGGAGCCTGGACAGGCCAATTGAGTACTGGGTAAACTCTCCCTCCACCAACCTTAGTTCATGCCAAGACTGTCAGTCATACAGGGCTGCACAATATATTTATATATCAGTGTTTGATACGATACTATTTTTTGTAATTAAAACATGAGGCCAATTATTCAATATGCTGTTTGCGCAACTGAGACATATTATTACAGGTAAGTCTGACTAAATTATGAGGTGAGTTAATCATGAATACCTACCAGAGACTATTATAGATTAGCATGATCAGCGTCTATAAGTCATAACTCAGTAGCAATAAATAGCAATATTTAGTATATGCATTATCCAGCCCTATTCAACTGAATATGCTAAGAATTCAGAACCATTAGCCTACTGTCTTTTGCACACAGAGGAATTAGACCTCCGCATTTAACCCATCCGTGCAGTGAAACACCCACATACATGCACACTAGTGAACACACACACACACACTAGGGGGCAGCGAGCACACTTGCCCGGAGCAGTGGGCAGCCCTATCCACGGCTGCCTGGGGAGCAGTTGGGGGTTAGGTGCCTTGCTCAAGGGCACTTCAGTCACGTACTGTCAGCTGAGGGGATCGAACCGGCGACCTTCCGGTCACAAGGCTGATTCCCTAACCTGCAGCCCACGACTGCATTATAATGTAATTAGTGTGCCCATCACCACCTCCATCACCAGAATCCCAGAACAAAGTAAAACACGTCCTTGACTCATTTAACCCTTTCCACCATCGATCCCTCCACCCATTCGGTGCAAACAGAGGTTAAAACCCACTTTCTGTTGCTGAGCTGCTGAGCTTTGATTGGACAGGTTCTTCTCAGGCTCAGCCATACCAGCTTTTGAAGGCGAAGTCTAACAACCAGTAAGAAAAGATAAACAGTACTTTTGGGGTTACAGTGTATTGTTGCTAGCCTGCTGGTGATGAATTAAAGCGACAGTTCCACAAAAATCAAATGTACACAAACGTTGTCTTAGCCTAAATGTGGTTGAACAGCCAAAACATGTTTGGTGTCTGAAGCTCCTTTAGTTTTACACTGAAGCTACAAGGCTAATGTAGCTAACCAGTAGCTTATGGTCATTAAGCAGCATTGTTGCTCCAGTGGAAAACTAAAGAATCAAACTTCAGACACCAAACATGTCTAAGCTGACTGCCTTTCAGAGGGAAAAAACTGATTTAACAGTTAAGATGTAAACAGAGTGGTTTGGTGAGAATTACTGCTCAAGAGAAAATTACAGAGTCAGAATTGTTCACAGTGGTGGTGATAGGAACCAGACGTCTACCTCTAAAAGCTCCCTCAGACAGTTGTTACATGAAATGGTCATGAATATGCCGCCTGATGTCTGAGAAGCTGTTTTACATCAGTATTGGGAAAAAGCTTTTGGTCTAAAACATCAATTTTAATGCTCTATTATGGTGGAAAGACACATGCAAGGCGATTTGAGGCAAAATAGTCCCCAAAGAATCGCTATCATTACTATTTTACCATCATCAACATGACATATAAAACCTCAAAAGGCACGTGTTGGTTCACTGGTGGTTTTGGATAATGCCTATCACCACAACTGTAATCATCAATTTAATTACACAGAAATTTTGAAAAGGAGGTGGAATTCCCCTTTAAGTCTATACTTCCCCCAGGTTTCTCGCTTAACAACACAGCTAAGCAGACTCTGTTCTCTTTGTCGTTACTGTAGTGCTAATCATGTGCCTGTTGATGTGAGAAGGTGACTTACATTATGGGGCATTTCAGGGGAGCTGGACGCATCACTGTCCGAAGCATTCCGGCGATGGCTTAGAGGGAGCTTCTGTAAAGGAGAAAAAAGCCTTACAACAAAATCATACAGGCTGTTTTTCTTCAAGCAAGCATTAGCAGTGCTGCTCCTTCAAGCAGTGAGACAAAGCTAAAATATTGCGTTCCTACAGTGCACTCGGTCCAGTGTGCTAATCAGTTATCCAGTTATTACTGAAACATGCTGAAATCAGGCCATGTCTCCACTGAGGACAGCTCACTATTGTCAGACCGTTCAAAACAACCTTCTGGACACCTGGAACAACACCAGGAGCAGATTCAACAGACAGTGCAATTCAGTCCAATGTCAAAGCGGTTCTGGCTTCAAGATAAACTATATGGGCAAAAGTATGTGGACACCCCTCCTAATTACTGAGTTCAGGTGTTTCAGTCACACCTATTGCTACCAGGTGGATAAAATCAAGCACACAGCCATGCAGTCTCCATAGACAAACACTGGCAAGAGATTGGGTCGTACTGAATAGCTCAATGACTTTAAACATAGCAATGTCAAAGGATGCCACCTCTGCAGAAGTCAGTTTGTGAAAATTCTGTCCTGCTAGATCTGCACTGGTCAACTGTAAGTGCTATTACTGTGAAATAGAAGCAGCTAGTAGCAACAACAGCTTAGCCATAAAGCAGTAGACCAACAAACTCACAGAGTGGGGCCGCTGAGTGCTGTAGTGCATAGCGCCTAGCCTCTGTTGCATCTCTTATCACAGAGCTCCAAAGTGTCTCTGGAAGCAACATTAGCACAAGAACTGCGCATTAGGAGCTTCAAGAAATGGGTTACCATGGCCGAGCAGCTGCACACAAGCCTATGATCACTGTCGGCTGGAGTGATGAATCATACTTCACTACCTGGCAGTCTGATGGACCAATCTGAGTTTGGTGAACGTCAGGAGACGCCACCTACCTGAATGCATAGTGCCAACAGTAAAGTTTGGTGGAAGAGGGATAATGGGTTGGAGCTGTTTTTCAGGGTTTGGGCCACTTAGTTCCAGTGAAGGGTGATGTTAATGTTACTGCATACAAAGACATTTTAGGCAATTATATGCTTTTAGCCTTGTGGCAGCAGTTTGGTGAAGAGCCTTTCCTGTTCCAGCATGATTGAGCCCCTGTGCACAAAGCAAGCTCCATAAAGACATGGTTTGAGGAATCTGGTGTGGAGGAACTCCAGCAGCCCGCACAGAGCCCTGACCTCAATCCCACTAAACACATTTGGGATGCCTTTATGGAGCTCGTTGAGTGTGGGCCGGGCCTTTTCGTCTAGCCTCAGTGTCTGACCTCATAAATGCTATTTTGACTGAATGGGTACAAATTCCTACAGACACACTCCAAAATATTGTGGAAAGGTTCCTAGACGAGTGGAGGCTGTTATAGCCGCAAAGAGGGGCAACTCCATATTAAAGCCTGTCATTTTGGAATTGGACATCCAACCAGATCATATAGGTGTGATGGTGTCCATATACTTTTGGCCATATAAAGTAGTTACTACTGTTTTAGCTATGCTAATGTATTTTAGTCCATGTTTATAGATAACAGTGTGTTATACTGCGTCGGAAACCACTTAAGGAAGTCTATTAGAGATTATTTAAAAATGCTGATTTATGTTATGCATAACAATGACATAAAGACATAAATGTGAGTGTGTTTCCCCAAAGATCTTTGACAGGTCTTAGAGGTTCGAGTCTAGGTTGGTCTAAAAAGCTACACTGATTGACAGAGGAGCAGCAGCGGTGCAATGTGGTACAGAAGCAGCGTGGCTGCAACTTTTGGTTGAACAGGAGAACCACTGAGTGTTTATACCTCATCCTGAGATCTTGTGCTGTTCCTCCAGCTCCTCATCACTCCATCCTGATTCATCATGCCTCCATTGCCCACTCTACACTGACCCAGACCAGCACAGAGCTAGAAAGAGAGAGAGAGAGAGAGAGAGAGAGAGAGAGAGAGAGAGAGTGGGTGGGTAACATCCCTTCATACCCCCACTCTACTGACCCCCAAGATAACACAACTTATTGACGTTATAAATTAGAAACACAGCATTTGTTTACTAATTAGTATAATTACAATTGCAATGATAGTAATTGTAACATTGTAATTATAATGATGAATATACTTCCTTAATTATAATAAAGAGAGAGAGACAAAGAAAAGAGAAAGGTGAAAGGTGAGAGGAGAGAGTGAGAATGTGAGGGGAGAGAGAGAGGAGAAGAGGAGAGAGAGAAAAAGAGATAAAGAAAAGTGAAAGGTGAGGGAAAGAGACAGAGGAGAGAGAGAGAGAGAGAGAGAGAGAGAGAGAGAGAGAGAGAGAGAGAGAGAAGAGGGAGACAAGAGAGACAAACAAAAGAGAAAAGTGAATGCTGAGAGAAGAGAGTGAGGGCAGAGAGGAGATAGAGAGAGAGAGAGAAGAGGGATACAGGAGAGAGAGAAGGGGAGGAGAGAGAGATGGGAGAAAGAGAGAGAGGGGGAGATAGAGAGAGAGTAAAGGGACATACAGATGTGTGTGTGTGTGTGTGTGTATATATATATATATATATATATATATATATATATATATATATATATATATATATATATATATATATATATATACACACACATACACACACACACACACACACACACACAGACGTACGTATACATTATATACATTAATCTAAACTAACCAGATCTTAAAATGGTTTGAGAAACAAGATGTTTTTTTTTTATTTAAAACAAGAGATTACAAAAACAGTCGAAACAGTGACGGACTAGATAAACTCCTAACCTCAGGTAAGGTCCACTGGGACCTGGAGCCGTCTCTCAGGTAGTAGTACGTCTGTCCCCGATCGTCCAGAGACTTGATCCACTGTGAACACAAACATCAGCTTCAGACCAGTCTGACTACAGAAAAGCTCACTAAAATCCACGTCTCAAAAACAAGAAGCCATAGGTCTGTACTGCTGAGAATTAAAGCGATAGTTCAATTAAAAACAGAATTTACAAATAACTTGTTAGTCTTGTAGCTCCAGAGCAAAACTACAGACACAAAGACACTAAACGTGTCTCGGCTCATCTCCTACATTTGGAGTAAACTGAGTGCAGTCCAGCGTACTGTACCTGCTCCTGAGTGTGTTCACTGGTGAAGACCCAGGCTCCGTCAGGGTCTATGTTGAGGGTCCAGCCTGCAGGGGTACTGCGGTCCAGACAGGCTCTGGGGATGGCTGGTTTTTTCACATGAGCGAGAGAGTACTCCGACATGAGGGGAAAGGGGAAAGATGCGGCGTCCTCCTGGTCTGGAGACAATGGGGCAACCTCTTCAGCAGGGTAGTCTTCCTCAGGGAGTGGAGGCTAATGACGGGGCAGGAGCACAGACGACATGACATTATCATTAGCAGTTTGAGCGAGATTTACTTGGTTACATGCACTCAAGTATATTGTTGATGGATTTGTACTTTCTTATGTGTAATATTTGAGTACACTATATGGCCAAAAGTATGTGGACACCCCTCTAAATGATTGAATTCAGGTGGATAAAATCAATTACATACTGAAGAGCTCAGTGACTTTAAACTGGTTTGTGAAATTTCTCTCCTGCTAGATCTGCCCTAGTCAACTGTAAGTGCCAACATTGAGCAATGGAACTGTTTGAAGGAACAGCAGCCCAGAATCCATATTAATGTCCATGGTGTTTCAAGCTCATATAGGTGTCCACATATTTTGGCTATATAGTGTATGATTGTGAGGAATCTACTCTACTTTTAAAGTCAACCTGAAATAAAAATGTTCTTGTTAATTCGTGTACCTGGTCATATTAAACCTGTTACATGAATATTAAAAGACTAAATTCTTGTTTCCTCATAATTTTCCATCAAAACGTAATGACCTTGGCCTTGTGATTTTTGATGATGTCACTGTGCATCGGGGGTGGGCAAAATAATATTAAGCAATAATATCATATTTCACCCCACTCCCCACTACACCCACCCATCAAGGAGAGATAACGCGTAGCTAATTCAGAAACCCTCCCTGATACCATGTTTCACTCATGAATACATCACAGAATGATTAGTGACTTCCCACTCACACTGACTTTTCACTCAGTTACATTTTACTTATTAATATTCAGTTGCTAATTTTATGATTGAATTCAATTTTATTTTTAATTTGATTTTTGACAACATCTGTATTGTTTTACTGTTGCTCACACCTCTTACTTTTGAGATATGCTGATAGATGCTGGATGTTCTACTAGAGTGAAATCAGTACTGGAGGAGTTTCTGGACATCATACTCTTCTACTCAAGTACATTTACTCCTCCATGAGTCAGATCCCAGATAGCAAGAGCATAGCGTGCCACTGTTGGCCCACTGATGGCAAAGCTGCCAGTCATTTTATCAAAACTGGCCTTCATTTCTTTTGTTATCCTTTGTAAATTAGTTTAGTAAAGAAATTTACAGTAATATCATAAATAAAGCTGATTATACAGCTGTATCCAATCCAGCACCGTGTCAGCAACATTTTCAACAAATTCATTTTATATCAGGCCTAGTCATTCATTTTTTTTCTCTCAGTAGTTTGTAATTTTTGTCTTAGTTTATTTTCCAAAATAAAAGCCCAAGTGCATTGAACTTCTGTTTGAGGAGATTAAAAACTACTTTGAACCTGTATAGAGTGAGTGGGGTGCCGTCCTTATCAAGCCAGCGGACCATATATGCTCACCATCTGGATATTTCAATATTTCTACTGGAGTATGAATTAAGGCTACTCTACACACCTCTCATTAGCAGGAATGTGTATTGTGCTTCCAAATAAATATGATTTTAGTCACAATGTCCAAGATTTTTCCATGTTAATAACACAAATTCTAGACAAGTAGAGCACCAGTACTTATCATATGACTCATTATACCCAGATAGCAAGCATATTTTTGGTCCACTGTCTTGATAAGGTCAGCACCCCGCTGACTGTTTGCCACTGCTGGTCCACCCTCGGACCACCCAGATTACTGCACACCGACTTTTATTTTAGAAAATAAACTAAGACAAATATTATAAACAACTTACAGAGAAAAAAAGGCCTAATATTAAATGATTTTGAGGGGAAAAAAATCATGACTAGGCCTGATATCAAATTATTTTATAAAAAAATTCTGTTGCTGACACTGCGCTAATGATTTACTGATGATTTACTAAACTAATTTACAAAGCATAACTAAACAAAGGTAGGAAGGAAAAATGAGTAAACTGGACTCTGAGGGCAAAATAGGCGATGATCAGTGGAAGTTTGTCTAATACTCTGCTTAACCACCAGTGGGCCGCCCGGAAAACGCTGAGCAAAACACCAGTGGACCACCAGCTTTGCCATCAGCTGGCCAACAGTGGCCCTCTATCCTCTTGCTATCAGGGATAAGCTGTGGCAATTCTTGTTAGGGGCTTCAAGCCCTTATTTAAGTCTCTGTACTTTTACTGCATCATTGTTATTTGACTGCCCCAAAACCAGACTGACAGCTGTGGAGATTGCTGACCGGCGCTTCAAGCCTTTGTTTAATATTTCAGTGCTTGCGTTTGATCTGAAAGCAGATTAGAACTGCAGCGTTTGGGTTGCACTGGTGGGTTCTGTATAGACGTTTTTGACAGATTTTTTGATATTCTAGATAACCTTCATTTTCTGGGTGTTATAAAAAAATGACCGTTTTATACTTATGGCTGCTAACTACCTTTGGCACTAAAAAACTGAAACATTTCACCATCGGTCCAGTACTGAAGGCTTCTTCTCTCTCGTTGCTAACACTCGTCGCTGAAGCTAATCATAATTCACTTATCTATTTATTCTTCTAAGTGAAGATAAAGTTACAATTACGACTATTACATCACCAATAAGTGCAAACTAGAACGGTGTCGATGTTGAAGGCCACTTTTAGAATTATTACCTTGTAAGGAGTTCCCAAAAAGACGTAAGCTAATTAGGAAGCTTACACTAGTGTTATTAGCATTTGTGCTAGTCTCCAGAGAGAAAGCTTTCACCCATATTTTCCACACTCAACAGAATAAAAATACCATTAAGCTTAGTTTGATTCTACACATGATTCTGTGTAATTTTAGATGTGTGACTGCGCTATATTATTTTTATTACCGCAGTGCTAAGCTAAGATAACTAACTGGCAAGAAGGCTAATGTGTCAGTTTAAACTCTCAAGAGAAATATCTAGCATTGACTGCACATTCAAAACAAAAACTGACCCAAATGGGAGCCAGTGGAACTTCAGTTCCTCTAGTTCTAGTTCATTTTTTCAGCTGGAAGAACAGCTAAGATCATAATAATAACCATTTATAACTTAGATTAACTTATAATTTAGTGGTCTTTTGGATCATTTTAAGCCACCCTAAACATCTGAATTGTCTTTATCTTTGAACTGACACATTAGCCTTCTTGCTAATTAGTTATCTTAGCTTGGCACAGTGGTAATATGAATAATATAGTGCACTCACACATCTACAATTACACAAGATCATGTGTAGAATCAAACTAAGCTTAACGTTATGTTAATGTTATATTTATTCTGTTGAGTGTGGAAAATACGAGTGAGAACTTGCTCTCTGGAGGCTAGCACGAATGCTAATAACATCAGTGTTAGCTTCCTAACTAGCTTATCCCTGATAGCAAGAGGATAGTGGACCACTGTCGGCCCACTGATGGCAAATCGGGCGGTCCACAGGTGGTTAAGCAGCGTATTAGACAAAATTCCACTTATCATCACTCATTTTCCCTCACAGTCTGATTTACTGATTTTTCCTTTCTCCTTTCTTTAGTTATTGTTTATAAATTAGTTTAGTAAATCATTTTAATCTATCAGTGTCAATAACAACATTTTCTATAAAATCATTTTATATCAGGCCTAGTCATGATTTTTTTTTTCCCCTCATTTGTTTGTAATATTTGTCTAAGTTTATTTTCCAAAATAAAAGTCTGCGTGCATTTAAAATCTCTTTGAGGAGATTAAAAACTAGTTAAAACTTGTATGCAGGACAGTAATCTGGGTGGACCAGCAGTGGCAAACAGTCAGTGGGGTGCCGACCTTATCAAGCCAGTGGACAGATACATGCTCACTATCTGGGATGTTATCTTTGTGAACTCCTTACAAGGTATTAATTCTAAAAGCAGTAAATTTAACATCTGCACACCGTTCTAGTTTACGTTCCTTTGCCTTTAGAGTCTCTGTACTTTTACGGCATCATTGCTGTTTGACTGACCGCTGTGGCGATTCCTGATTTGGGCCGCAAGCCTTTATTTAATATTTCAATGCTCGTGTTTGTATGAAAACAGATTGCAGCTGCAGTGTTCGGGTTGCACTGGTGGTTTCTGTATACGCTGAGCGACACAGCCAAAAGCCTTATCTTGATAGATCATTTGACACAGATGATAGATCAAAACTAAGCATCTGAGAAACTATCACAGTAAAGGGGCTTATGGTTATGTGGCAGGCATTAAAACGTAAGCTCTATCTGAGAACTTACATATTAGACTACAAATAAAATCCTATGTGATCAATTTTGTTATCGTGATAAGCAGTATGCTTTTCTGAGTACACTGCGGAAGCTGTTTGTTCTTACAGAACACCGAACAACTGCTTGGTTCATCACAAAGAGAGCATAATTAGTTCAGTTTGAGTGAATTAAGTGCAGTGCAATATGTGGTTTTTAGATGTGGCACTACTAGTGCATTGTGTCTGTCTGTCAAAATATCATAACGCATATTGTGCATTGTAAAAATGTCTCTTAAGTGTTGTTATATGTTACTTTTGCCGTACCACTCACCCCCTGACCGACTAACACTTCACAAAACTGTCAAAAAGTCATTATGCGTGAATAGGTGCAGCAGTTCTTCAGCAAACATCATCTGATCAAAGTGCTGTTCGCTGATGTTTTGTGCTTTCGCCTCATTGTACATGTATTTATGAGTTTCCCTCTCAAAGCACAGAATGCTGGAGGGAGATTATTGCAATGAGGAAATTCACCAAAGCTGATTGTGCACTTTAAAATGCTAGGAAAAGCTTGCCTTATTTTTGGCACGCGGCTTCCACTGTTGCTGCTCAAAGACGTCCAGTCAAGTAAAGTCAAGTTTCCACAGGTGAAAAAAATGACATGCTGTTTCTGGCAGTGTGTCAAATTTTGGCTAATATTCAACCTCTCAAAATAAGGAGTTATAATGACAAAATAATGACGTAACGTCTTAAATAATAATGTTAAAATATTGTCATACAATATCGTCATATTGCTCACCTCAGAGTAGATACTCCTCTGGTGGCAGTGCGCAGTAGCAACACTACTGTACACTAATGTACGTGAATGGCTGCTACTGTTTATTTAATGTTGGTCTACAGCTTGCGCTTTGACTAAAGTCTGATATCTGCACTTGGACTATCAGGTTGACTGGATTTATCAAGTATGACTTGATATGGGAAGGTGTAATTTACAGTGTGGAAGGGGGAAACCTCGCTGGTAACGATGATCCTGTTTGGAATGTTTCCAAGTCCAGCCAAACATGTGAGTCCAGTGGTGAAAAGCCAAACTGCGCTGGTCATATTAAACCTAATCTAACCTAAATCTGTGTTTTCTTTCCAATTAGGTCAATCTTGTTCTTGCAGGGCAACAGTAAACATGTATTAAGCATACCCTTTGAATAAAGTTCAATGACCAATAAATGACCGACATATTGTTCCACATTTCTCTCCTATCAATGTAAAATGGATGGTCCTAATCTTGGGTAACGCTTCCGGAAGCATTCCCCTGACCAATCACAAGATGTCTCTTGCCCCGCCCACACAAAACAGTTTCAGAGTCAGAGAAACTTGGTGAGCTAAACCTAACCCAGCATAACCAAAAGCTAGCAAGCTAGACCTTTCTGTAGCTGCCTGTCACCTGTTTATTCATTGTTCGTTCATCCATTCCTTCATTCGCAGCTTCATCTATCCAATTGTGCGTCCATTTTAGTATCTTACTCTGTGCTCCCATCAGTACAGACCGTAATTTGCACCTTATTTAACGAATCTGCCCCAAAGACTGACCTCTCATAGTCTCCAGCATCTCCAAAGTAATCAAATCGGGGCACATAAAATATGGAAAATCGAATCTTCACCTTAGAACCAAATGAAAATGTGTGTATTGTAACACTTCTGTATACGCTCCACATACCGGACCACTGTCCCGCAGCTCGTCCGGCAGGTCCCAGGAGCTCTCTCCAGAGACGGGGTTGAAGTAGTAGTGTCTGCCGCTGGTCTCGTCCAGCACCCTCTCCCAGTCCGAGCTCCATCTTGGCGGGGAGGGGCCTGGGGGCGAACAGGCTGGAGACTGGGCGGGGGAGGGTGAGGTAAGAGGATCCTCCGTCCCCACGTCGGGCTCCATTAAGGGGCTGAGTGGGTAGTCCCAGGTGCTGCGGCCTGTGCTGGGCTGGTAATAGTACTGCTGACCGCTGTCCTGGTCAGTGTGGATCTCCCATCCCTCGGAGCCCAGGCGAATAGCGTCGGGGAGGTTAGGGGGAGAGTCTGGAGTGTCCGGGATGTCCCAGGAGGAGGAGAGCGCCGAAGCGGAGGAGATGGGCAGGCCGGAGATGCTCCGCCGGGTCCTGGGGACGTTCACGTACACGGCCGACAGGTCGTCATCCTCCACCTGAGAGAGACCAGAGAGCGTAAAGTCAGAGACAGGAACAGGGGTGGCTATTAGTGGTGGTATTCTTTGACCTTAAATTCTATTTAAATAGAATATTTTAGGAAGTGAGTCAGCGTACCATGCCATTTCAAATTTTACCACAATTTAATGAGACGTGATTATTCTGGTACGATTTGGATTTGTTTTTCAAAATACACTGAATACAGAAATGTGACCGGAGGAACCATTTACAGACCAGAGGTGCCCTAACTTTTCATCTTGGGGTGCCAAAGTACAATGTCTGTGGTGCACCGAGAGCCAAAAGGACAAAACAGAAAAAAAGTAAGTAGGTAGGTTTCAAACTGTATTTTTTAACATTGCACTTTATTTTGTACATAAAAAATTTAAAAATGCAATTTTAAAAGGAAAACAGTCATAATTTAATACATTTTATATAGTATAAAAATGTGCTTGTTTTCTCATTGGGTGAGGGGCTGGATTCCGGGAACGTTCTGGTGGGCTAAATCAAACTCACAGGAGAACTGTGTCCAACAGGCAACAATTTGGGCCCCCAATAAAGACAATCAACATAATACATAGATTCAGTTCATTCAATTCACCCACTGCGGAAAATGAATGAGGTGTATATGTTTTAAGATGCATTAATGCATTTTTACACCTCCTCTATCCCCATTACGGAAAGGCTAGAGAGAGTGCAGCTACACTTGTGAAGTTTGGGAACACTTTGCCTCTCTTGGAATTTGAAGGTTGTCACAGTTTCTGTCCAATTAAGCAATTAAGCATGCAAATCTTTTGTTAGCATAAAGAAGCTGTGTGCTAACCCTTTGGGTATAATTCAGCATCAACACTCAGCTTCATGCTCAACAAAGTGTCTTCCTTGGTATGAAGATGAAGGTCTTAAGGCTGTGCATGGGTACCCGAATACTGTAGAGGGTGATCAAGAAGGTAGTGCAGCTACTTCAGCTGAAAATGTATTCAATCAAAACGTATTTATCTCAATGTTACCTCAACAGACATGTTGGCACATCCTTTACAACGCAGACAGAGAGTTCCCATCCACATCTACTCCTGCTCTGGTAGTCCTAGTGCTTGCTATTTAGCTCATCTGAAGGGGCAGCTTCTAAACCTTGCCCAACACAAACACCTGCCTGTTTAACCTCTCAGTGACCAAATTATTTCCTCTGGCTATTATTCCTTCTGTTTGCTTTGTGCTACTGATTTTTCTATTTTATTTTTTAAGTCTGCTGGCACCAGAGCTTCAATTTACCCTGTTTGTGTGTTATGAGTATGAACTACAATGTGATGGTATCAGCTGAAGGTACTTTTCCTCCTTCCTAGATGCCCATATATCCTTTTATTAGCTCTTAAAATAACACCAGTATTAGTCAGAACCCACATTCCTAGCAGGAACTCATACTAATATTGCTGTACATATTTTGTGATATTGTTTCCCTCTAAACCTGTACAGTCCTTAGTATGTTAAGTTTCTACTAACTGACAAAGAGCATGTTCATTTTTATTAAAAAAACACCTTGAAAAGCTAGGTGCGCTCAAACTTTTGACAGACAGCATCTATGTGGACTACTGAATTAGTTCAAACTTCGGTCCCACCAAAAAAAGAAGTATTTAGACTTTACAAGGATTACTTTATGATCTATTTAAGGCATTAATTACAATAATAATAATAATAAGCTAAATATATATAAAAAAAAAATTATTTATAGGGTACTTTCTGTTAGGAGGTGTGTGTCCCAAGTGAAGTTGAAAAATTTTGATTTTTAAATAAAGTTAAACAGAGTTGAATTTTTAAATAAAAAAACTTGAATAATGCTGTCCCAGGTTTTCATGTCTCTACCAAAACACAACGCATTTTCGCTTGTAGGCGGAGGCCTATTTTAGCCACGCCCCTGCATTTTAAAGCAGGAAGTGAGACTGCATCCCTGTCCCTCATGGCCACATGGTGAGCAGTTAGATCCCATTGTTTTGAAGCAAATGTGTCTCAAAGTCTGGAAATCAGTGTGGAACGTTAAGAATTGTCACACATTTTCTGCAGCTAAGTATTTTTTGTGTATTCTAATCAAAATATGATGATTTTATGTGTTCAAAGCTGAGTTTGCTGAGTTCAGCTCAAAATGAGCTAAAATTGTCACTACCGAAACAGGCACTACTGAAAGTTTCGGTACTGCTATGATTGCTTTGGTAGTAACAAAATGGAATGTTCCATCATTTATTGTAATAAAATAAATATAATGAAGGTCTCAAAGCATAAATATTTTAGTCTAAAGTCCAAGTCAGTTAAAAATCCCAAATGTGTTTCAGTTCTGACTTTAAACCAGCTCAGCAGAATGATCCATATGAGAGATAGGACTACAACATTTCTACACCACATGCTATGTTTATGGATATGTCGGTTAAAATGTGTGGGACACACAAACACTCATGCAGCTTCAATCCTCTCACAATGTACTGATTCAGATGAGATGAGCACATACACACAAAC